AAAGAAGAAGAAGAAGAAGAAGAAGAAGAAGAAGAAGAAGAAGAAGAAGAAGAAGAAGAAGAAGAAGAAGAAGAGAGCATGAAGTGGGAGATGAGGCGATGAGGAGAGAGAAAACTATATGGGAGGGAAGGGTGGAGGTTGAGGATGACAAGAGTCTTTGCATCGTGCAGTAACTGTGTCAGTTGTAGCTAATATCACAAATTTTTGAAGGATACTAAATAACGCCGTAAAATTATGTTCCAAACAGGTCATATCTACAAAAAAGAAAAGACAAGATGTTTGAATACTAGATCTATTAAAGAACTTTTTAAAACAGAAAAGCGAAAAGAGAAAAAAGGGAGAAAGATAATTTGAAGAAAATTCCCAAACAAGTGGAACGTACCTTGTAAAAGAAAAGAAAAACACACTGTTAAATCTCCACGTTACAAAAGAACCTATGTAAACATTAACTTGAATCTTCCACTCGTTAATACATTAGATGATTATCGTGAAAGTCCTTTGACACTGCTGTTTCCAACACCGAAGAGAGGTGGCAGAGTCAGTATGGGAGAGTTTCAGACCTCCCGATTCTGCAAACTCGGTCTCCCCTCCTACGACACTGTGCGTCGAATGTGACTTGTCTGGTTCGCGGTCACATACACGCACACACAGATACCGCGGTCACATACACGCACACACAGATACAGACACACGCGCTCTGGTGATTGGGACAAATGTGACACATGGTGGTGGGTGCTTCTGTCACCTCGTTCTCTAACTCTAACTCGTTCTATCTTTCACTCTGTTCCTTTTATTTTTTCATTCCTCTTTGCCTGGTCTTCGATTTGATTCTTATTTTTTTCTTCCTCTTTCAGTTTCTATTTAAATCAATGTAACTCTCTCTCTCTCTCTCTCTCTCTCTCTCTCTCTCTCTCTCTCTCTCTCTCTCTCTCTTAGCTTTTCTTTATTTAAAATGTTCCTAGCACTTTCCAAATTTATTTTCTAATTTCATGTGGAACTGTTACCTGATATGCACTTATTCAGACAATCTGGTCTGAATCAGTGGTGTTGCTTGCAGTGAGTCTAAACGCATTAAGGGTCAGAATTAATCTAACAGAAAATGTTAATTCACTTTAAAAGTTTCTAATAGCCGGTATGTCTACCTCTATCATTCAGGCAAGTTTAGACTATTTGTGTCGTGGACCGAGTGAGAATTGAAATGAAACAATGAGGAATTGCAGCTTATTCATGGTGAAAAGCACCCTCTTGTTGTTGGATATTGGATATTATAATTATTATACGTCGCGTCCACGCGGCAGTCATGCTCGTCCTGCAGGTGCTCAGTTAGTGATTTGGGTGCAAAGAAGGGCCGATGCAAGTTGGTGAGTAAATGTGGCACAAGCAGTACAGGCCATTGTGTTGTTCTGCTGAAACATTTGAATATTTGGATGAGCCTGAAAGGTGGACGCAATAATAGGCTGAAGCTCACTATTGATGTCTGTCTGAGCATCCACAGAGCCTGGCAATACAGTTGAAACAGTCTCGGACGGCCACCATTTGTCGAGTAAAAAGTGTCCATCTTAGACAGATTGGTCTCCAGCATAGTGTCATTATAATGTAAAAGGGAAGTGGCTGTTTGTACATGTGATTGTCTTTTGCAGGTGGCCTTTAGAACAGGTTCGACTGTACTTAATTGTAGCTTAGTACGATGGTTGTAACTAACGCATCTCCATACGTGAGGCCTGCCTCATCAAAAGCATCCATGGTGCATTACACAAGCTGCTGCATGATATTCTCCAGGTCGTCTCCACACCTAAATTTGGCCATCATTGTTGGACAAGTTAAATCACTACCATCTGCCCATCTGAGAATGCTACAGAGTTCCATTGACGCCTGATTATCTGGAAATGCTGGCTCACCCACAAATAACGACCATGTGTGCGAACTTGAGTTAGCGGTTGGTCAATATGAGGTCTTCGGCCAGCAAGTCCCGTGTCATGCAACTGAGTGCAGACATGTTCGAATGTAGAATACCTCGCCTTCCGTGGACTCCTGCTGCTGTTGCAGATTCTTTTCACAATTCGATTTGCAAAAATAAACAATATGCCGGTCTTGTTGGTTGATAGTTATACGTTGTCGGCCACTTTCCAGTTTGTCAGAATCAATGCTTGTGATTGTATTTCTATATTTACCGTGAAGGTGTTGTATTGTTGCAGTCGATTTCGTTCTAACAAGTCTGCATGCTTTTTTTCTGATTTCACTTCGTATTATTTACTATTTGCACTGCATAGCGACTGACCCACTGATAGATAGATAGATAGATAGATAGATAGATAGATAGATAGATAGATAGATAGAT